CGGGCTTCGGGTCTATGGTGGAGGAAGCCCAGGGCAGGGGGTTTGGCGGCCCCCGCCCCAGGCCTGGTGAAATCCCCACTCTCGTTGAGGCTTTGGGTAGAGATGGCCCAGCCCAGGCTGACTCCTCACAGGGCTTGACTGTAACTGGCCCCCTTGGGGGCATACCCATGGCTGTGGGCAGTCCCCAGTCCTGCTGTTCCAAGCACTAGCCTGTGACTCAGGGGGGTGCTCTGAGGGCCTGTTCCCGATCCCACTGTTAAGGGATGGACTGGATTGTATCAGTGACTTTCCAGACTTCATGTCAAGATACTTGCGTCCATATCAAGCCTTTTAAGAACACGCAAATAAACGTAACAGAGCTGCAAAGTGGTTCGAGGTGGACGTCAGGCGGGGAGAAGCCATCTGGGGAAGGAGTCCTGCCAGGAGTCCTGTGCCCGGAGCCAGCTGGCCCGCATGACCCCTCACCCCTCTGCTCTAGGACCCACCAGGGGAGCCAGTCCCCATTGCAGGCAGCCCCCAGCTTCCACCCTGGTGGGGCGACACCCCTGCCCTGACCCCTTTCCTCTCCCGACCCCATGTTCCCCTCCCCAGAGGAAGCGGAAATGCCTGGCCTGCATCAAACTGAACTCTGCAGATAAAGTCCTCGGCCGGATGGTCCACTGCCCCATACACACGCAGGCTCTCCGGGTAAGAGTGGGCAGGGGAGGTGGGGAGGCTGGGGAAGAGGCTGGGAAGATGGAGAAGCTGGTCCTGTGGGAGAGGTCAGAGCCCAAAGCATAGACTGAGGTGCACAGAGGGCGAGGAGGGTGGGAGGGGTGAGGAGGGGCAAGGGGGTATGCGGAGAGAGGAGATGAGGGGTGAGAAGAGGTGAGGAGGGACGAGGACGAGGACGGGTGAGGAGGGGTGAGGAAGCTGGGAGGGGCAAGGAGGGTGGGAGGGGTGAGGAGGGGTGAGGAGGGGCAAGGAGGGGCTCTGGGCCTGGCCCCGCTATTCCCCAAGGAATGTGGAGGTGGGTGCCACAGAAGACGCAAGCACCGTCCCCAGGGGTACTCTCCACGGGGACACCCTCCCCGGAACCCGCTGGCGCCCGGGCCTGAGCAGCTGCCACTGCCAGCAGGAGCCCGAGGAGCACCAGGAGGCTCAGTGCGGCAGGGTGGAGCGCGCGGGCGAGGACCCCCACAGCTACTACTTCCCAGGACAGTTTGCCTTCTTCAAGGCCCTGCCCCCGAGCTGAGGCCCGACAGTAGATGGTAGGTGCCCAGGACGGGCGACAGAACTGAGCTGGGACAGCGATTGCGTGTTGGGGCTGGAGACTGGGCTGGTGTGGGGCTGAGGGCAGCGGTGGGGGACGGACTCGGAGCCTGGGAAAAGAGCTTGGACTGACCCAAACAGCCTCCCTCACACCCAAAAACTTGGGTTTCTTTCTCTTTCCCTATAGAATTCTGTCCTGCTTCCCGGACAGCTGCAGGAGCTGGCCAGTGCAACACCGACCTGCTGTCCCCGAGCCCAGGGAGTACGAGCCCAGTATCCCCGAGCCAATAAACTGCTCTCCCAGACTCGTTCTGTCCTCTCGCATGCCCCCTTCCCCTGAGCTCGGCTGCAGGAGTAAGGTCTCGCAGGAGCAGCAGAGCCGGGGGAGCAGGAGAGACCAGGGGCCGCAGAGACCTCGTCTTGCCTTCGGGTGCTCGCGCTCAGGAAAGCAAAGCTCACCCACAGAAAATGACAGGCAGTGATGCTTATTAGAACAGAGAGATTTAATAGGGATCCACGTGGGTAAGAACAGGCAGCGAGGGCTCCAGGGTGACACAGGATGAGCCACTATAGCAGGGGGTCACCGGGACAGGCAATGTGGGAAGGTGGGCGAACGCCACCTTTGGGGCTCTGCCACTTCCTCTCCCAGGACCCGCTGGGCCAGCATGCACCCCCTCTCTGCCTTTCTCACATCTAGCTTTAGGAGGAAGCAACTCTCTCCCACTGAGCCTCTGGCCAGGGGTGGCTGCGGCTGTAGACCGTCTCCTCCAGAGGCCTCCTCCCCAGGCTCACGGTGGAGGTGGTGGGACGGCCTCATGCTGGGCGTGCCCCTTGAACAGGGCCCTTACCCCTGCTAGAGGCCACGGGGGAGGTTGTGGAATCTTCCTGAAGGAGGAGAAGCCCGGGGGGGGGGGGGGCTGCTCTTAGGAAGACGGGGAAACAAAGAGCCGGCGCTGCAGGGGGGCAGAGGCGGGCAGCCAGGCCACAGTGGGCCCAGCTGCCACAGACCGCAGACACACTCAAAACACGAAGGACGAGGTGGTGCTGGCAGGGCTGAGCGCCCGTTCGGCCTGGGCCAAGCTGTCTCGGGCCTGGCGGTCCAGGTCGTGGCACTCCTGCAGGGTGTGCTGGAACTGACGGCAGGCCTCCTCCAGGATGGAGCTGCTCCGGGGGGGCCAAGACTCCCAGTAGCCTGGCTCCACCCAGGGCTGGGCCTCGGTGGCCCTGGGGCCGGGGCTGGGGCTGGGGCGCAGGGAGCTATCCAGGTCCCGGCACAGCTGGTAGAACTCGCTGCCCCGGCCGGTCACACGCTCACCGTCGATGACCTTGAGGCCAGGGAGCAGCTCTCGGACGGCCGTCCGGTACGAGGGGCTGCTGCACAGTGGGTTGCTAAGCCGGGCCAGGGGGTCCCGAAGCCGCAGGTACTCGAGGCCCCGCAGGCCGGCCAGACACTGCAGCTGGCCGGGGGTGGCCAGCAGGTTGCCCGCGGCGTTGAGGCTCTGCAGGTTCTCGCAGGCGGCCAGCGGCTCCAGCGCCGTCAGCCGGTTGTCGGCCACGTTGAGCACCAGCAGCTGGCGCAAGGAGGCCAGCGGGCCCAGCTGCGTGAGCGCATTGCCCGACAGGTCCAGCCACTCGAGCCCCAGGCACTCCCCCAGGCAGCCCAGGTCCGCCAGCCCCAGGCCCCGAAGCTTCAGCAGCAGGATGGACTCCAGCGCGAACTCACCCGAGCGAGACTTGAGCAGCTGGGGTGTGACGCGCACCCCGTCGGACTCTGCCGGCTTCTCACCCTGCGACTCCATCGGATGAAGTCAGTTGCGGGGAGGCCCCGGTGGTTCTGACACAGGGATGCGGATGCCACGGGGGATCGGCTGACGGCTCGCCCTGAAAAAGGCACCATCCACTCCGCCTGGGCCAGCGCCGGAGGCCCGCTTCCGACAGCCCTGCTTGAGGGCCAGCGGGGTCCTGCGGGGAGATAATCACACCATAAGCCGGCCTCCCCTGAGCCCCTCCGGAGCCCGCGGACGCGGACAGCACGAGTGGCCGGCCCGGCCAGGCCTGCCTGAGGACACAGAGCCCTCCGAGGGAGGGGGGCCCCAGACAGGATCCAGCGGTTATGGCCACACTGGATGGCATTCCAGGGGCCATGGGACTAATTCTTCCCATTTTCTGTATCCGCACGGGGAGGCAAAATCTCTACGTTTTCCTTTTTCAGTACCTGCTCATGATCTCTCCTTATCAATTGTAAGGTGTTTCTTTTTAACCATTTCAATGAATTCCTGAAGAGCTAACAGGTCACCACCATCAACAACCTCTTCTGTTTCCCTCCACATGCAGACGCAAAAGACAGCACACTGGGCCTCACTTGTTCTCTCAAAAATGTTCTCCACTCAATGTTTTTTTTTAACATGAGCGATGAATTCAAAATGGTTTCCAGATTGTGTGAGCCAACTTGTAACCTCTGCTTGAGATCGAGGGGCCTGGAGGCTCAGCTCTCTGCCCAAGGTGGGGAGACTGAAGTCAAGGAGGGAGGGAAGGGCCAGCAAAGGCCCCCAGAGGAGGGGGCAGCACAGGCAGTCCCGAGGCCGCCGCTGCCCACCCTCAACCCCAGCGCCTGCCACAGCAGCTCTTGCTCTGGTGCCAACAGAAGGGCGACAGTCCCTGCGTGCCAGGCAGCACAGCTAGGGTTACCAGAGAAGGCAAGCAGGGCCCAAGGCCAGGCAAAGAAGCCATGCGTGCTGAAGGGAAGGACCTGGCTAGCGCCTAGGTTCCAGAAAGGCAGGGGAGGGAGGGCCCTTCCAGGCACCAGTGGCTGTGGGGCGGCATGAAGCCAGGTGCTAGCGCGAGGCCGGAGGCCTGGGGGAAAGACGGCAGCAACGCCGCCCACAGAAGGGTCAAGGTTTCAGCAGAGAGGAAAACAAGAAGTTACCTCTGCGCCAAGTGGCAGCCTCCCAGCCCTGCCGACTCTGGCCAGGCCTGGGCCGGGCAGGGTGACGCAAAGAACCATGGGGCTGTCCACTCCTGCTGTTTATAAAACCTGGGCTCCAGGGTATCAGAGTCCCAAGCCTGCGTTTATGTAATCCACACCACTTTTTACTTCCTTCTCCAAGGAATCCACGCCCAGAGTTCCTCCCCCTCCCTCGGCCCCCTCCCCCATCTCTGAGAAGGGGGTCCCCATGTCCTAACCTAGCTCCCCTCTAGTCTGCAACACCCCTTCATTTCTTTCCGAAAGCGATGCGAGACATCCACTAAGAAGTCTGGGTCGCTGTGTTTGAACGGGACCTGCTGGGGCTTGGAAGCAGCGAGCGGGGGTTGAAGCTGCTGCCCGCGGTGGGTGGGGGGGGGCAAAGCGGGCACCGGGCACCGGAAGCTGCAAATGCACAGAGACACACGGACCGCACCGAAGGTAGTGAGCGCTGCAGAGGGGCGCTCTCCGGAGTCCAGGGACCCAGTCACGTTACTGGATGCGTGTGGGACACACAGGACAGGCAGGGGGGCAAGACGATGTCCAGCTGAGGTGACCGTGGGCATCGGGCCGAGGAGGCGCCTGGAGCTGTCAGCTGAAGGGATTCAGCGTCACCTGCAGAGGCGCCCAGCGAGAGTGGGTGACGCACTGGGCCAGCCTCTTCGGGGAACACAGATCTCTTTAAGTGTTTGCACGCCTCTCTCCAGGGCGATGCAGAGCCTCCCCAGCCACACGCTATTTTCGGGGCGAAAGTGGTCAGGAGGCCCTGGAGTCCCATGAAAAGGAGCAGCCATGAGCCAGCATCGAGAGGACACCAACCTTTATGAGGCTGAAAGGAGGGATTCGACGAGCAGCCAGAGGGAGGCGGGCGAGGACACAGCGAGGGGCAGTGTGAAAATGCCCACTGGAGCGGGACAAGATCGCTGGGTGGAACAGCACCGGGCCGTGGCAAGCCCACAGCCCGCGCATGACGGTCAGGGAGCGCTGCCCTGAGGAACCGGCTCAGGGACCTCAGGGACCGTTTGGGTGGAGGTGGCCACGTGCGGGAAAGGGCAAGGGGACCAGAACGGGGGAGGGGGACTGTGTGTGCGCCCCACATTACAATTGGGAGGAACGCTTTTTGCAACAGAGGAAACAGAGGAGCCAAGAGCACATTCGCTGGGAATCGGGCCTTCCCCGCCCCACAGCCCTGCCTGGCCGGGTGCAGCCCTCCCGCCCGGGCGCTCGCTGGGGACAGCACTGCAGTCACCGAGGTGAAACATGGATGCTCCAACCGATGGACCTCCGCTCCGCCCCGCTCCCACCTTACCCGCCACCTGCACACCTCAAGGAGGCAGGTGTGGGCGCGACCGAGCACCCAGCCACGCGCACACCCAGCTCACAGCGGGCCGGCAGCACAGGGCAGGCCCCGCCGGGTGGACGGCTCCTCCACACTCGGCTTCTTCTGTGCTCCTCTCGAGAGAACCGGAGTCCTTCTGCCCTGGTCCCGCCCTGGAAAGGAGTGCACAGAAGCTCCTGGTCCCACGTGTGCCTGCCAGCAGGGCTTGGTCACGTGGACGAGACTATGACGGAGGCACAGCCGACGCTCGGCTTTCCTTGGGACGCGTCTTCCCTTGTTCAGGGCTGCCTTCGCGGAGTCTCAGTTCACCTCCCTAGGGAGTGGGCCGGAAAACGATGTCCACGAGCCGGGGCGGGCCGGGGCTGTGTCTCGGGGAGAGGTGGCCCACGCGGAGCAGCCTCAAGTGCTCCGTCACCGGCTGTTGCGGGGACCCTGGAGAGCCTCCCTCTGGCCGTGCCCCTCCCCCACGCACAGCGCAGATCAGGGCCCCCACCTCCTCGGCCGCTCGAAGGCGGGTATGTCTTGGTTGCGCGGGTTATCCTGTGCTTCTAGAATGCTCGGCAGTACCCGTCTGCCACCCACAAGAAGACAGCAGCAAGGCCACCAACAAGCCATGACACTCAAATGTCTCCATTGACGAATGTCCCCTGGGACAAAACTGCATCCCCCCACCCTCACCCCAAGAGCTACTGCTTGGGCCCAGCCAGCTTCTCGGGCACCCTCTTCCACTCCCCCTACTCCTGGGTGCTGCCAAGCTGCCGCCCAGCCCTCCTCACCAGCCAACACTGCAAAGCCGGCTCGGGGACACCACAGCAGGAAGAGCTCAGGGGACCAGGAGCAACACGCCCCCCCCCCGCCGGGATTTTAGGGCCCCTCACATTCCTGCCCCCCACCCCGCCTACTGAGTCAGAATGAGAGAGAGAGGTACGGGACGCCGTGTGTCTGAGAGCCACGGGGAGAACCCAAGGCCCCACTCTGATCTCACCACCAGCCGCACTTGACAGAGTTGGGGATGCGAAGAGGTGCACCATAGCCCCGGCCCCTGCCCCAGACGAGCCTCACCTCCTGCCCAGGGGGGTCTGGAACAGCTCTGGGAGGTGGGGGCAGAGGCCAGACTTTAAATCACGCTACTCCGACCATTAAATATGATCTTACAAAGCTTTATTTAAGAAACAAAATGCAGTAATTATGAAATCACAACACAGTCAACAGGACAGAGGATATGATCCCAAGATTAAAAAATGAAGTATGTCCAGTTATTAGTAAGCCTGTCCGAGTGAAAGGATCCTGGTTAATTTTTCCTGCTCGCTTCCTTACATCCTCGGTGACTTCCGAATGTCCTATTGTGAATTACTCGTAGAGACGCAGGACTGCCGACCCTTCCAAGGGAGGCGAGGGGACAGGCGTCGTGGCCTGGCCCCCACATCCAGGGCCCAAGAGCAAGTTGGGCCTCAAGGGCCTTGCCCCACCTCTGCCTACCGACCTTCCCTCTGACTGCCACCCTGCCGGCGCCCGAGCACCTAAGGAGAGCCTGGCTTGCGTCGTGTGCGGGGTGACAGACCTGCCCTGATCCTCCAGCCTCTCCCTTTCCGTCTCTCCACATTTGACCCCACCGGCTCCGACCCTGCCCTGCAAGCCCCCTGGGCTGTCTGGCTCCGGTGGGTCTCATACGCATCTCTCCTTGCTTCCAGGCGGGGGATTTGCACTTGGCAAGTGACCGGGAAGACAGGGAGGTGTGGGTGCTGCGGGTGGCGGCAGGGGATAAACGAAGCTACTGAGAGCCTGGACAGCCGTGGAGCTCTTCCTGAGACCGCTTTCACTGTAGAAAGGAAGAAACCCCAGGGCCTCCAGCAGTCTGGAAACCAACCACGGTTCCATCAGCTGTCCTGGCTGGACAGTCCCATCGGCGGGGGTGCTCTGGCCACCGTGGGATCCACGAGGAAGTACCGACCCCAGGAAGACCGGTGTGCGCGTGTGTGCATAAGCTTCCCTCAACACGGCTGCTCTAGCGCACGCTTCTTCTCCAGCGCAAGCCAACTGCGGAAAAGGCTGCCTAGCTTACCGGGCCTTGCTGGCTGAGATTTCCCACCTGCCAGCACCCAGGCCTCTTCTAGACCCTGGTCGCTGTTTGAGAAGGCAGGGCCCTTAAGGGCATGTCACGTACAGAGACAAGCTGCACGGGCCCTCACTGCCCACACACGTGGCAAAGAGCACTGAGGCTTAGAGCGCAGGACGATTTACAGTCACCTCCTGACAGACGTGACCTCTCCTACGCCCAAACTCCTGGAAACACATTAAGCGATGGCTAGACGGAAAACAACATCTCCCTGGAGGCAAAAGGCAACCTGTCAAGAACTGACAAACTCCCCACTCCTTCCAGCGGCTTTAGGACTCCAGACACCCCCGTCCAACAGGCTGGAGTGCTCGGTCTGCTCTCCCCTCCGAGCCCGGGCAGAGCTCTCCCGCACGCAGACTTTCAGACAGTCAGGCAGAGGTCGGCCTCACTGGCCTGTTCCCCCTCGGCCAGGTCTTCCTGGGGGAAGAGGAGGGGAGGGGCGGTGTAGTTGGGGAAATTCTCCAGGTTGGTCTTCAGGAAGAGGAGACGCTCGATGGTCCCCACGGGGAGAGGGGTGTTGTGCTGCACCAGAGCAGGGCTGCCCAGGGAGGCACAGACACTTCCAGAGAAGGCCCCTGTTGGGGGACAGGACAGATAGACAGTCGCCAGTCTTGCCAGGGCCGGCCAGACCTCCTGCCTCTTCTCCCAGTAGACCAGCGGGTCCTCCTGGGCACCGATCGTCTCATTCTCACGCAGGTACTTCTTGACGATGATGCTGGCCAGGTGGCTCTTGGTGGCGAGGGAGGCACCACTTCTCTCAGACGCCAGCAGCCCCACACTCTCCAGCTGCTCCAGCAAGCTCCTCTCCCTCGGGCCCAGCAGCAGAGACCCAGAGCCGCTTCTCTGCACGGGCTCTTTCCGGCCCCTCCCCTCGGCCCCAAGGCTTCTGGCTCCCCCACCGCTCAGCATAGCGCCTGCACGCGTGGTCTGGGGGCCGTGCGGAGAGGGCGAGGGAGGCAAGGGGTGTTCAGACGCCATAATCTCCTTCACCTTGTACACGAGAACTTGCTTCCAGTGGTCAATGTCGGCCCCTGTGGGCAGGATGGCCTCGATCCGGCCCTTGAAGCGGGGGTCGAGCAGGGTTGCCAGCACGAACTCCTCGCGGTGGAAGAGCTCGTTGAGCTGCCGGTCTGTGGTGAGCTGCAGGGCCAGGCCCTTGGCCAGCCGCACGGCGGCCCCCACTTCCACGCCGCCCTGCTCCTCGAAGTGCTGGGGCACCTGCTCCACAAAGATGTGTAGGAAGCGGAGCTGCGGCAGCACCTGGCTCAGAGAAGCCCGGGCCGCGCTCGCCTCCCGGACTGCCACCTGGAAGGGCCGCAGAAGCGTGACCAGACTGTCCGTCAGGCTCCAGAACACGGCCGACAGGGCCGAGCCGGCCTTGCCCAGCTGGTGCTCCTCCTCGTACTCCTGCAGCGGCCGCTGCTGCCCCACCAGCCACTCCATCAGGCGGAAGGCGGACACCCAGTGGTCTGAGAGCTCCCAAAAGGGCTGCTGGGCCGGGAGGCCGCACCGCCGCTGCAGCTGTGTCAGCAGCTGCCTGGCCCTGGCGGAGCCGTGGAAGTGACTGCAGATGGCCCTGACCGTCCCCAGGATGATCTGGACGCTTTGATGGTGACACAGGAAGTCTGTCACCAGGGAGTCGAGGCAGTGGGCAAAGCAGGGGAGGTGGGTGTAGCCCTCCGTCCTCACGGCCTGCTCCAGGCTGAGGCGGCTGCCCGACACCAGGAAGCCCGGCTGCAGGCAGGTGCGGCGGAGCCACAGGCTGACCTGCTCCCGCAGCGCCCGCTGCCTCTCCTCCACGGTGCTCTCCTGGGACAGGCCTCGAACCCAGAGCACGGCTTGCCTCCTACGGCTCTCCGGCGCCCCCTGCCGGCTGCCCGGCCGTATTGCCCCCCAGTGGGCAGTGACGGCCACGTAGTCCACAGCGGAGTCCCGGGCAGCCGCGGACACGGTGAGGTGGGCGCAGCCGCCCTCGGCCCGCCGCATCTCCCGACACACCTGCTCCACCACGGCCGCGTGCAGCAGAGGCAGCGCGGTATTGGAGAAGAAGGCTGGAGGCGGCACGTGGTAGCAAGGGTCCACCTGGGCCATAAACCTTCTGAAAGGCGGGGACGAAACAAAGGAGAGCGGCAAGGCCAGGCTACAGAGCAGCTCTGCGATGCTATGGTTCCAGGCCTGGGCTCGGGGCGGGCTGGGGGCGCAGGGGTCACCCTGGCCCTCCGTGACCACTAGCGGGAGAGCAACAGGTTCATCTTTGGTAGAAGCAGGCAAGAGGGGCGGAGCCAGGAACAGTGGCTCAGGCCTGCCCGGGGCCAGCTGCTGGCCACTGTCTCCCGAAGTGGAGGCACCGGGGCCGTGTCCTGCTGACGGGAGCCCTTCGGCGCTGGCGGGCAGGCCCTTGTGCTTTTTCTCCTCGGTCCCTTCCCCCTCCTCCCCTGGGCTGGCTGCGGCTGGCCTCCTCGCTCTCTCCAGCCCGTGCTTACCCACCAAGTGACGGAGCAGGCCTGAGGTTTGGAAACGGCCCTTCCATCTGCCCTGTGGGACGCTAGCATGACAGCGAGGGCAGGTGACGTGGCAGACGTTCTTGCAGTCAGCAGTGAACAGCCGTCTGATGTCGGACGCCGGCTTCTGCCCCGCCGTGTCCAGGCGGCCGGGGGAATGCCTAGGGAAAGCCCAACCCTTGGTCTCTGCCTTCAGAATTCTGACCAGCTTCTTTAGGCACGGCGGCTTCTGGAGGCTCTCCAGGGACGACGGCTCCCCGACAGCAGCGAGCAAATGCCTCTTCTTCCACCTCCTGAGGCGGCGCACCTCCCTGGCCAGATGGGCTATGAGGAAGTCAGCCTGCTTCACCTTCTCGCTCTCACGGGGCTGGCCCACCTCGGACCTGTCCAGACCGGCCGCCTGGACCGGCGCTGCGGCTGCAGGGGACTGGCCTGGGCTGAGCGCTGGGTCTCTCGACTTCTTTAGTGTGGGCTCCCCGTCCTCTCTCTGTCCACGCGTCTTCTGTTTGGACGCCTTCTCGGGCTGTCCAGGGGGCTCCTGCCCAAGCACAGATTTGAGGTTACAGAGGCCAGAGTCTCCCTTTGGCTTATTCCACTCAGGGCCGACCAGGCACTTCACGTGGGAGGCCGCGGCGTGAAGATCGGGGCTCCCCTGGGAGGATTTTCTCTTCTCGCTGTAGACATGGAGGCCCGGGGTGACTTTTTCCTGCTCTCCCAGGAACACTTGGTCAGGTGACGGGACCGACGAGGAACTGGGGAGGGGATGAGGTCTCTTCCTCTGTAGAGGCGGATCCCGTCCACTCCCTTTCGGGGAGACAGAGGACCCAGTTTTCCTGTGGCCACTGCCAGCCCTCTCTTCTGTATCTACAAACTCTAGCTTAACCTCCGTCTCCAGCAGGCGCCCCACAGCACCCCAGCCAAGTCCATGAGCGGTATTGGTAGCTCTGGTGTGAAACTTGGAGCCAGGAGAAGTCAGGGGAGCAGCCGGGCTGCTGGGTCCAGTCACGGAGGAGTCGGCACAGAGAGGCGGCTCCTGGCCCCCTGAGCCTGAACGTGTATGTCTCTTGTGGGGCTTCCTGGGTTTTCCTACTGGCAACATGCTTGGGAACTTGGGGGAAATGAGGAGATGGGTCCAGGCTGCAAAGCAAGATGAAGACAACAGCTCTCAGTTGCCCCGCTCAGCTTTGGGGACCATGAGGGGGAAGGCAAGGCTGGAGGGGAGAGGAGCGAGCAGAGGATGCAGGCGTAGGGAGATCCTGGGAAACCTGTCCCAGGACAAAACTCTCAAGCCGTAACACCCTTGGTGAAGGCTGGCATTCGCTCCTGCAGACCGGACAGAGCGGCCCAGACAGAAATCCCCACAGCTCTCTGGACCTCAGAGGGCTCGACGTCTTTGCGGGCCACGCTAACTGAGGTTTCTCTCTTTCCTTTCCATGTCTACGGAGAACCTGGCACACTTGGCCGGTTTCTTTTGTTGCGGATACACCAGAAGACAAGCAAAGCCCCTGTGTGCGCGTGGCCTCCAGGCTGGCTGGCAAGACAGACGTGAAGAGCCGAGCTGACATCGTGGAAAGCTCGAGCTGCCAAGCAGTGTGAAGGAGCGCCACCTGCGGCTGTGAGACCCCAAGGAGGGGACTGACCTTGCCAAGACATGGGGCAGGTTTCCCTGGAAGAGGAGCAGGCGCCAGGTGCTATAAGCTCAGGCCAAGGGAGTAGAGCTTAGGTCTCTTGAGTCCCGTGCCCCTGGGCTGTACCTGTCACCCAGCAGGGCAGCAGAAACAGGTCATGATGCTAGATGCTAGGCAGTGACGCAGCCAGTGGCCTCGCTAGATCTTTTGAAATTCTTTTTCTAAAAGTCCGTCTGCACCAGGAAACACGGGACAGGAGCACAGAACAGGACAGCCCCTAATGCCAGCGACTCACGTCCCCAGGGTCCTGTCACGCCCCTCTCCCTGTCCCAGAGAGACTCCTGCAGGGTTACTCACACTTCCTCACCTCCCACGCCCCTCGAAGCCTGCTCGTCTGGCTCTGGCCTTCGCCGCTCCCTGATGCTGCCCTGACAAGGCCACCAGCCTCCTCCAATGGACTCCCCTGCCCGCAATGGGGTGCTGGGCCATGTCTTCCGTTTGGAACCCCATCATCCTGTGGCCCTGGGGCACCTCATGTCCTTGGTTTTCCTCTCACCTGCAAATTCTTTGCAGTCTCTGGGCTGGTCCCTCTTTCTCCTGCCTGTTCCTTCCTGCTGTTGCCCAGGCTCCCTGCCCCATTTCTCATCCTGCACACCCTCCCAGACTAGGGCTACGTTCACACCCTGACATGAGCCTGTGTCTGATTCAGAGCCTTCTCTTCAGCTTCCCCTCTCCCACCTGCTCTTCCTGCGGTCACCACAATCGTGTCGACGGGACAGCTGTTTGCCCAGATGCTCCGACCCCAAGCCGAGGCATAATCCTGAACTCCCTTCCCTTGCTCGTTCTCCTCGAGATTAGGTCACTTGCAGGTTCTGGCCCGACAGGAAAGGGACACAAAGAAGTCAGGAGAGAAGTACGTGGAAAGGGAAGGAAAGGAAAGGAAAAGCCCTGTGCTAGAATGCCTTTCTCTGGACAAAGGGAGACTCCACGGAAGGTAACCTAACAGCCCCACCACACACGTCCGAAAGCAAGTGGGACTCGTCTCTTCCCACCAGAATGACATACAGACTCAACCAGAAAATTCAGAACCAGTATGTTCTGACACTGAGTGATGTTAAACATTAAGAAGAATCACCAGGGAGGGCAGGCCTGCCTTTGTAGGCGACAAGCCCACTGAAGCAGCGCCAGGAAGATTCTGCCCGTGGAGGAGGGTGGGCAACATGATGCTCACACTGAGCTCCCGTCTCCGAAGGACCAGAGGCATCACCTCGGAACGGACGAGGTCTCCATTGAAGCGGGAGACACCATCCCAGCCCCACACATGCCCTGAGATGTCAGAACTGGAGTGGCCTGACCTCAGCTCTGATTTTAGGATAAAAGAATTGGAAAGCCAGAGTGGGAGTGTGACGGTCCATGGCAGAGCAGAAGAGCAGAGCTGGCTACAGGCCTCCAGAAGCAGTGTGTAGGCGATATCCCCACGGAGAACGCAGAGCAGGCTGGGGAAACTGGGCCTGCGCCAGACCTGCCTCACTGTCGACAGCCAAGGAAAGGGACAAACCTGTGTGTTAGGGCCGCAGCTGGGGCCACGCCAATCCTGTTCTGTTCTCCAATTAGCCTTGTCCCACCAGCACGCCTGTTTTCTGCAAATACTCCTGATTCACTTGACTGTTGAACAAGAATTCATCGGAGGCCCACCCACAGCCAGGACTGTGCCCTAAAGACACAGTACAGGAGAGGAAGCGCCCCACTGGCGCTCAGGACAAGACAACAACTTGAAGTGGGCCCATGCCGCCAGAGCAAGGCAAGTGGTGGTGGTGCTATGGAGGCCAGGCCTCGGGCTGACCTACACATAAACCGAATCTACGACATTGGACTTCAGATTCTGTCTTGTGAGGGACCACTTACCCGAGGCTACGCTCCAGGAGCCCCAACTCCTGATGGACTCCCTGGGTCGAGGTGGGGTCTTGTGCAGTCACCGGCAGCCACAGTCCGACCACCACTCTCCCTTCCACGGAGGCACATAGGATGATGACTAAGAGGCAGGTGCCGTGGGGAGCCTCCACGTGAACCTAAGATGTAAAATTTGGTAAGAAAATCACTCCCAAACCCCAGTAGTTTATCAGTAAGAAGTTCCTGGTGACATTTCTCACCATAGAGGACAAATGCACATCGGAGGGCAACTATAAGATGGAGACCCCTGGGGTACCCAGCAGGCAGCAGGCAGGAGGGCTGCCGTGGGGTCCCGGGAGGTGGGGGGGAGGAGGATGGGAGCAGGTGACAGCAGCAGGATGGGGGGCAGCAGGGACAGTCTGGAGAGCTAGTCAGGAGGCAGACTATGCATGAGTTCCGAGGTGAAGGAGAACCAGGGGATAGAGAGGGACTCTCTCGTGATCCCATTTACTAACGCAGTTTACTTTTGAATATACCAATGTGAGGTTCTTCTGGAACAAGCCTTTGCAAGTACATGTGCCAGATAAAGGTCAGGGATGTAGGGCACGGGTGGTGAGTGGGTTTATCTTTGGAGACAAGAAAAAATCTAGTTTTTTGGAGAGCAAAGAAGGCAGGCAGGCTGTAGCACCAGGAAAGCCCTCGAGTGCGGGTTGGGGGAGAAGTGAGGCAGTCCCTGCTCTGGAGCCTATAGATTTCCAAGGGGAAGCCATCCATGTCCGGAGGCAGCAACGTGCTGGCTGAGCCCGAGAGCGGAGGTGTCCCCGCACTTACATGTGTGGGGGCTGCACGGACTAGCACTCTTAGCATCCCCCTTCCCATGTGCACGCCCACATGGAAAGGAGTCACTTCTCTATTGCTCTCATGCCTGCCTCACCACAGAGCCTTGAGGGGAGCTCTGTCCACCCAGGGCATCCCACACCTTTCTCTGAGTTTTCACCGCCCAGCCGAATCGGCAGGCCCCCTCCTGTCTCAGCTCCTACACTGTCTACCCATCCCAGACCCCACATTGCAAAGGGCTTGCTGGGCCCTCCAGTCCCGGCTTCTCATGCCCTCACCCGCTCAACTGTGCAGAGAGGAAAGGTGGTGAGGAGAAGAATGGGAGGACAGGCACATGTGAAAGGAAAAGAGTAGAGAAAACCACTATGTATTTTGGGGGTCTGACTCACATGCAAACCCTATGTGACCTGTCTTTAGTAATAACGGTGCATCACTGGAATTCAGATTATGCAAAAGTGACATAACATGAGGCCCGTCTTAAAGCATACACCAGGAGAACCCTTCGCTCTTTTCCGTGAGGCTGCTTTATAACCGAGCGAGAGCGTGAGGTCGGCGGCTGGTGTGCGTGGGCTGAAATCCTGGCTGCCACCCAACAGCTCTGAGCCGGGACTAGCGCGCCTCGGCTTTTCCAGCCACACCTCAGGGACAAGAGCACCCACCTCCCAGGCTTGTTAGGGGAGCCCAAACACGTAATCGAGTGTTCCGCGGCTGTCCTGGGCACAGAGCGGTGCTGGACACGAACCACTGGCCAGTACGGGCTGCCTCACCGGGCGTGTTTTAGGCGCAGGGCATTGGGCACTGGCAAGCAGCTGGCCAGGGAGAGACACAGCCGGGCCGTTCCAGGCGCGGGGCGGGGCAGAGCAGGCCTGGGCGCCCCGGTCCGTGAAGTGGCACCGAAACGCGCCCTCCCCGGCTTACCTAGGCCCGCTGAGACCAGGCACGCGAAGCCAGGTGCGGCTCCCGCTGCAGCCGACCGCCCCACTGCGGCCGGCAGTGACCGGCCGCCACTCCGCCGGCCACCGCGTTTCCCCCCGAGAGCCACCGCGGGAGCCTCGGGAAGGCGCCAAAGGCCCCGCGGAGCCGGGGGAAGGGGCGCGGGTTCCGGGACGCGCAAGGGCTACTTCCGGGAGCGACCCTCACCCACCCCCGCCTGCGGATGGTACGCTCCTCCGGCGGGTCGGGGGGGGGCAGCCCCCAGTGCGCAGGCGCGGCGGGCGCGGCCGCGGCCGGAAGCGGTGGGCTCGCCCCGGCTGTAAGGCTGGAAGTCGCGCGTTCTTATCACAGAGGCTGGGACGGCTCAGTACTAATCTAATGTCGCTAACTTAGCGGTGTTAGTCTTCCCCCACTAACCGATCGCCAAGGTCCTGTCCGACCCGGGCTCCCTGCGCCCTGGGACTCTGTCCGAGGGCGATCCGCGACTGGTGCGCGCGCACAGACGGAAGGCCCCGCAACAACCGTAATGGTCCTGCCGTCGGAGTCTCTTCCAGCCTGGAAGGCTCACCCGGCCTTACGGGAAGCCCCCCCAGGGTGTCTCCCGGGGCAGTTTCCCGCTGCTTGCTGATGTCGCGAAGGAGCAGGGAGCCGGATGCAGGGCTGGATCCCACGACCCTGGGGTTATGACTGAACTACCCAGGCGCCCCTCCTGAGAACTTTAGAATAAGCACGTGTATTCTAGTAACCTCCCCCCAAATCTTTAGTGTTTTCATTGATACTGCATGTGTAATGTCATGCAGTACATGATACTGCATACATGATACTGCATGTAATGTCATGAACATTTGACAGGAAACAGAAATAAAGATAACATAAACAGGCCCCAGGTTTCATGCCCCGCAATTCCCGGGTCCTATTATATATCAGAGGGCTCACAGTGCTTGCCACTTCCGTTTCCACAAAGTGGATCAGATGGTGTCTGTGATGAGAATAAAACAGGCAAAGGCAGCTGAGGTCCTGGCAGAGTAAAGAGCGGCATGGAACTAACGTATATAAAATAATGTGATTTATGGCTCCCACTTACTGGTGAACCAGTCACTTTTTGATCCATTCTCTTGGCCCATATTCACAATCTCGATGAGGCAGACCCTATTTTTACGATACCAACTGAGCAATAAAACTGAAGATCCTGAAGATAAACTTGCACTCAGCTAACCGTCAGTGGAATGGGAATTTGAACCCAGGCACCCCAGGTCTTGACTGTGCACTCTCAACCTTGATGCTGAGCTGAGCCACTCAGGCAAGGTGGAGGGCTTCTGGGAGGCTGGGTAGAAAAAATAAAGAGAAGAATGCTTGCTGAATCAAATCCTACAGATCCAGGACACGGCTGTTGCTCCTGGTATCACAACTGGTCCAGGCCAGAGCATCTGCATTTATCTTTCCAGGCCCAATGTTTCTGCTGTGTGAGCCACAGAAGTCCTGGTACAGAGATTTACCACCTCAGGGTCTCCCAGGTCTTTTTCAGGGCTAACCTTGACCTGAAAGACTGACCTCTTTTCAGATGAAGGGAAGAGCCTTGCTGCTGTCACAGTACTTAATCCCGGGGTTAAGGAGTTAAGGCAGTAGTTCCTGTGAGTTTCTGGTAACATGCATTCCAAACATCCCACCTATGATTTTCAGGGAAGATCCTGGCAGGGTGAGCTCAAGGTTTTGCTGGGCTCAGTGCAACACGAGAGCTCCCCCACTCTCTTGGCCTCTGATGAGCCACCAGCTTATTGCTGGACTGCACGGCACTGGCATTAGGGTCTGCTCAGATCCCCAAGAATCCCCTAAAGTTTGAGTGCATCCTTCTCCCCAGGCTGTGGTCTCCAGGACAGGAGCTCCAGGTCCTGCTGGGAAAGGCTCACAGGACACCCGACGCTCAGGATACCAGCTGCACTCAAGCTTTCCAATCCCCTTCTGCAAGAGCTCTGGGTTGCTAAACTGATTAAAATGTATCAATTCCGGGGCACCTGGGTGACTCAGTGGGTTAAGCCTCTGCCTTTGGCTCAGGTCATGATCCCAGGGTCCTGGGATCCAGCCCTACCTCGGGCTCTCTGCTCACTGGGGAGGCTGCTCCCGCCCCCTGCCTGCCTCTCTGCCTGTGATTTCTGTCTGTCAAATAAATAAATAAAAATCTTTTTAAAAAATGTTTCAGTTCCCTGAGTGGTTGAGATTCTAGAGTACTTGTTCTCAATACAGGAGTGGGGAGGACTTTGCCCCCATTTCAAAATGGCTAGAGACATAGATGGTTGTCAACCAGAAGCTGGGAGCAGGGGTCTTCTGGCATCTGGTGGGTAGAGGTCTGGGGTTACTGCTAAACATCCTCAACTCAGGGTAGTAGCCCTTGCCCCAACAAACAGTTATCCAGCCCGAACTATGGAGAGGGCCGAGGTCAGGAAACCCTGTCCTAGAGGGTTTCAGCTAGCACAACAACCCTTGGGAGGCTTGTTTAAAATGCAAAATCCCGTCTCCTCTGTGACATTCTAATCCAGCAGGCTTTGGGATGGGACCCAGGAATCTGCATTTTCAAGCATATCAGATAATGCTATTACGTGGATCGTCTTCCAACCTGATTCAAAAACTCCGGCCCCCAGACCTGTGTAGGCCTGCCTAAGAAGCACCCGGAGTGCATATGTCAAGTCTGGGACCCTCCCTCCATCCCCAGAGACTCTGCTGTATGCTGCCTGGCTGGATCCTGGCATTCGATGGCAGGTTCACGAATAGAACGTGGTTGGGGTTAGGCTAGACTTTGGCCGTCCGCCCTCACTTTTCTGCTGTTACATGTGAAGCAAACCTCTGGTGGCTGCCAAATGACTTTATTTCGGGAAACCCCAAGGTTTATAAACAAAGGTCATTTCCCAGCACACAGATATGGAGCTTATAAGCCCTCCCACTGGCTTTCACTTCTGCTCCTCACACTCCCATTGCTACCAACTATCCTGATTCCGTTCCAAGCAACTAAAACTTACCAAGGGGATCACGTGAGGGTCTTCATCAAGGAGGGGTGACTCTGTGGCCTGCGGTAAAGGTACACTTCTGTCTGTACCTCCTCTTCCCTGTTCTGAATCTGGGCTGAGGGGCATCCCTTCTACAGCCTGGAATATGCCTGATCTCTCAGGGATGCTGAGGTGGGAGATGGCTTGGAAGGCTGGCATCACAGCAGCATCAAGCTGGCAAGTGTCCTTAGCTCCTTGCCCTTTGGTTTTCCCAAGCAGTGCCTGGCACGAAGCAACTGCTCAGTAAACATGGGCCGTGGTCGCGCTTACATACTCTTGAAGGACATTTCACCCAGGCTGTGATCTCCTCTAGGGAACTGTCCCTGACACCCACTAACAGCCCCGTTCTAAGGCCGCAACTCTAACGTGGGCTGGAGGCACTGCCCGTGGTGGCATGAACGTCTCTGGAGGTGTCGATCCTTCGATAGAGCACTGCCCCCTGCCAGCCACCCTCTGTACGTGCAGCTTCGCTTACCCTGGCCACCTTGGGTCCTCTCTCCAGGCTTGTCCCGTCCCAGGGCTCTGAGGCTGCTTCTCTCCCCACTCTGCCACAAATTATGGTGCAGGGTTATCCTACTCCCTGCTCCTGCCCATCCGTAGGGTTCTTATGCTTCAACTGAGTTCTCCAAGCGTCTCTGTCTGAGGCTGACATTAACTGACCTGCCGTTCAGGTGGCAGGTGGTGGGTGCTTGAAACTGACCATGAAAGACGGGATCTCAGCACAAATGCTTCAGTCCAGACCCCATGCCCAGACTCAGCCAGCCTGGCATGGCTCTAGGCAGCCCAAGGCTGGATTCCCTGGGACAGCCGAGCCCCACTGGACTCTTGTTTGAAAAAGCTCTGGGCTGTCAGAAGAATTTACTGTCCGTTCTAGCCAGTACCCGACCACACACCTCTGACCTTCTGCCCTTTCTTAGAGCATTTACTTAAAAAAAACGCTTCCAATCCTGAATCCTTCCTCTGTCCCCGTGAGACATGGGTGTATGGATTTCCTGCAATCCAGAGATGCCCTTCTTTCCTCCAAAATGAAATCAGGAAGGATCGGGCCTCGGTCCAGTGGCTGTGGGAGACACAGCTGACGTCGTGGCCCTTCCACTGACCAACCTTTGTGATTTCCCACTTTCCCGACTCTACCTGAGCCCCCGCTTTACCCTCTCCCTCCTCCCTCGTTCTCCCTTTAACTGCCCCTCACCTCAGCACAGATGGAGCTCGGATCTCCCTCCTGTCAGCAGTTACAGAATAAAACCTGCCTTCACGGCTTTAACTGATGTCTGGCTGTGTTTATGTTGGACAATTCCTGCTCACCTTGCAGTTTCTGCCGTGGGTGTGGGGCTGGAGGCATTGAGAGGAACACAGTCCTCACCAAGCGGTGGGGCGAGCACCAGATCCTGGGAGGGAGTCATACACCCACGGTCTGGGCTGCTCTCCTCTGTCCCTGAATGGCTGCGCAGGCAGAAAGGAAGGAATCAGTGGGAAAGTCACTGAGTTGGGGAAGGAGCTGCCAGCCCCGAGCTGCTCAGAGGTGGCCTAGAGAGCAGGGGACGCTCCCCAGGACTCCACCTGAACAAGGGGACAGATACACCTCCCAGGAGGGTCTGAGAGGAGCTGCAGCATCCCATCCCAGCGAAACTGAGAAGCCAGGGAAGGGAAACAGAGTGGGGAAAGCAACCACATGTCACCACCCCGGGGCCTTGGGGCCAGTGATCTTCAGCATCCCAGACCTGAGGCCCTAAAGGGGGAGTCGCAGGGACAGCAGGGGTCCCAGGCAGCCGGGTCTAGCTTCAGTTACAGCAGCAGGGGGGAGATGCCACGCAGCCTTACAGGGTATGTCCCCAGGCCCAGGGCCTGACCTGCAGGGACCCAGGAAAGGCGACCCAAGAAGGTCCCCTCCTTGTATCATTCCCTTTATGTCCTTAGGCCTTTCCGAGGGTCCCATTGTCAATTGTCTTTCTCCCCACGCCCTTGACTTCTTAGGAGGGGGCCTTCTGATGCCTGGGACCTTCCCTCCTCTTGAATCACTTCTGGGAACTCTGTGACAATTACAGGTACCCAGGTCCCCTCCTGCCTCCCCGAGGACCTCTTGTATCTTTACCTGCTTGTCCCCCATCACTGGTGTCCCTGAAGGCTCCTTCCCAGCCTTGTCTCACACTTCACCCCACCCTGTGGCCTCAGGGACCACATTATTTTATGCTGAAGACCGGCACCTCCTCCCACCCGACTGGACCTCACTGGACATCTCCACGTGGATGCCCGGGGTGCATCTGACTTGCCTGGAGACAAAGGGAATCATAGGCCACCATTTCCCCTCGGAAGCCTGCTCCTCTGTGGCCCCTCATGGAGCCTGGCCAGCCACCAGGACCAGAGACCCCCTGCTCTATCGCTCCCCCTAGGGCCCCCAGCCCGGAGCCATCCACACCCATCCCTGCCTCCCCCTCTCCCACAGTCCACAGGCCAGTTATCTTCAGCCCTAACCAGACCTTCTATCAGCCCACTCACCTCCGTTGTCTCACCAGGCACCCTATTAAGAGGCTCCTTCCCTTGGGATGCCTGGGTGGCTCAGTTGGTTAAGCAGCTGCCTTCGGCTCAGGTCATGATCCCAGCGTCCTGGGATCGAGTCCCACATCGGGCTCCTTGCTCGTCAGGGAGCCTGCTTCTCCCTCTGCCTCTGCCTGCCATTCTGTCTGCCTGTGCTCGCTCTCTCTCCCTCTCTCTCTGACAAATAAATAATAAAATATTAAAAAAAAAAAATCTTTAAAAAAAAAAAAAAGAGGCTCCTTCCCATGGAACACCCTACAGAGATCATCCTAGAAATCAAATAGGGTCATGTCACTCCTGCCTTAAAACCCTTTTGTGGTTTTGCACTGCCTTTTGATCAATGCAAGCTCCTCAGAGAGTGTCCAGGCCCTTGATGGTCTAGTCCCTCATTTGTCCCCATGCCTCCCCACCCCCAAACCTCTTATACTGCCCCCCACCCCCTGCCCATGAACTGCACTCCCTGGCCCCGGAGGGCCAGTCCTTCCTGCTCATCGGGTTCCAGCCCCCTGCAGGTGGCTGGCCACTGCCCGGGAGCAGGCAGGTGGGTGCGTTCAGGTATTCAGCAATGAGGCAGGCCACACTCTGGAGATCTGGGGACCTGCTTTATTGCCCAGGCTCAGGGGCTGTGTGCTCTGTATCTGGGGTACAGATGAGTGGGGGTCAGAGTTCTGCTGGAACATTCCTGTGTCTTCCTTCTGCCAAGACTGATTCTGGGCAGAAGCCGGGACGGTCGTACCTTCTCCTCCAGGTCTCAGGAGAATGTCATTTTCAGTGTCCACGATCCAGACTTGCAGCTCCAAGCCTCCATCCCCGTGTCCCCCAATCTACCCACTGAGCACGTGGGAACCAGGTGGACAGGGGCACGGCAGCCAGCAAACTCAGCCTCAGCCAGGACCTGGCCACCTTCATGAGCCACTGGACGCAATTAGATTCTCAGGACCACCCAGATTCAACATCCCCCACTCCAGGAGGCCCGCAGAGGTCAGGACAGGAAGGGAGTCTGAAAGGGGGTGCAGTGGGATGTCAAAGGGAGGCCCCAGCCAGAGTTCTGAGCAACAGGCCAAGCCCAGAACCAAGAAATTTATGTGAGACGCATCACAACTGACCACTATTCCAAAGATAATGCCCACTAAACGGAACGTGCATCACATAAATACAGTCAATAAATATTCAAGATTGGCGTCTTCCCCCAGGGGGGCAATGCGGCAGGGGTGGGGGGTGCGGGGTGCCTGAGTTCTCAGCTGCAAATCTCCTGGAAGGAGGGCACAGGTGGGGGTCCTGTGTTCCCTCTGGTCTGGTGCCTGCATGTTCTGCCTTCCAGACCTCGTCCGCTGGCACTCCGCCACCCTCCCCTTCCCAGCGCAGAGCTCAGGCCGCTCCGGGGCGGACAGGTCTGGTGCAGGCCTCAGGGGCCAGGACGGGCCCAAAGGGCCACAGGGGCACCCAAAGCTCACCCACGCCTGTCTCTCTTCAGCCTCTCTGACTCCAGGTGACCTAGTTGCTGCCACTGGGGGGAGGTGGCTCTGAAACCCACTCCCCTGCCGTCCAGTGAGGGACTCCAGGCCTGGGGCCGGGCTTAGACAGAGCCTCCAGACAGCACGGAGCTTCCCTGCAGAGGAGGGACGGAGGCGGGAGGAGAGGATATTCTAAGGAGATACAGCTTTCGTAGCAAGCCCATTTAAGTGACTTTAGGACTATAAAGAATCCTAAACATATTGGTTTCAATCCTGATCCAAATCACTATGTAGCTTTTTGCGTGTGTTTTTTCCGTTACTTCAACTTTTTAAGAAATTTCACACCTATCTGTGTCCGAAAATTAAAGAATTCCAGGAAAGGCCTTTGCAACACCCTGATTGGGTCTCTCCGTGTCACAGACAAGGAGGCCCCTGGAGGCAGAGATGCTGCCTGGGGTCACACAGCAGGACCGTGGCGGAGCTGATGGGAACCAGCGGACTCCCCATCCGGGGCTTTCTCCCTGGTCCAGCCCGACCTGGGCTTGGCGCATCCTGGGCTGGACACCGCTTCTCTACAGGACAGGCTGCCTCACTGGTAAAAGGCAAGTCCCACCCCCGTCAGCTCCTGCAGAGGTCTCCTCGGGAGGAGCAGGGGGAGTCTGAGGGCTGGTATCTTCTGCTCAAGCCTGATTCAGCTCTGGGCTTCACGAGGCCCCAACCAGATGGAGAAGGCAGGAGCTGCTGGAACCAGGCAGGTCCTGGGGGAGGAAGCCAGGGAGGGACCCAGATACAGCTGTGAGGGTGGGGACAAAGGGGTCGTCGGGGACAGGACAGCCAAAGTCATCCAGGGAGCTGGGGCACCTGAAAAGCACATCACATGACGAGGTCACCTCCTGGCTGTGGAGACACCCCCCCTCCCCACCCCCTGCCCCACGTCCTCCCTGGAGAACTTCCTTGTCCCTGCCTCCGCCTCAGCCACTCGGCCCACTTCAACTGTCCCTCTCTCCGTCAGTGTCTCATGGCCCTGTGCCCCAACGCTCCCTCACCCAGAAGAGATGCTGCACCCTGGTCCCCCCCCCGCCGTCTGCAGCGTGCGAACCCACCACCATGGCTCACCCTGACCGGCTGCCCGAGGAGCCTGGTCTTCCCTCAGTCCCTGACGCCTTGCATGGCACCAGGCGGGGACAGTACCAGGTGCTCTGCGTCTTTGTCTTTTCTCGCCCAGTAAATAAGTACCTGAGTCTAAGTATGAACTCTTAGGGCACCTGGGGGCTCAGGTCATGATTCCAGAGTCCTGGGATCGAGTCCCGCAGCGGGCTCCCTGCTACTCCTTCTCCCTCTGCCTCCCCGACCCCCGCCCCTGGCCTTTGATCTCACTCTCAAATAAAAAACAGAATAAAATAAAGTGAACAGGAACTCTAATGACTGCCCTGCCAGCTCTTCTCCCACACCTCAGTCCCCTTTCCCACCCGCACGGCCTGGGCCCCCGGTACCTGGGGCCGAAGCGGCATTGGTCACTCCCACAGGAAGCGGACGTACCAGATGGTCTCATTCTTCAGTTGTGGCCCGAAAAGGGGGTTCAGCTGAGCCAGGATAGTGATGAGCCAGCTGCCGGGGACAGCACAGCGAGGGTGAGGGGACCCTGCCCCCTGCCTCTGGTCATATGCCAACCCGGCCGTGGCTTTTGTCATCAGCATTATCCCCGAGCTGATGTGTTGCAAACAGTTTCCAGGCCCAGCATTCTCTTAAGCTGCCCCCCTTTTCCGCCTCTGTGCCCCGGCTCAGAAGCCAGCCTCCTTTCCCCAGATGTCCATTCGGTGTTTGTAATTGTGCACAGCCTGAGCACGGCCCGGTTCCCAGCCACCACCACTCCGTCCTGGTCTCTGAGCCAGCAAACCCCAGCCCCTCCGAGACCCTCCTTGGGACCGATGAGGATGTTCTGCCAATCCCCGAAGGACCGAGAAACAGCACAACGGGTCTTAGAGATGCTCTGTCTGGGGAGAACTGTGAAAAACCGTACACTCCCGTGTATGTAAGGGCACATCTAAGAGTCATCATTATTTTTAACAAGTTTAATTTTTTTGTTGTTCATAGGAGGTCAAAAATCGTTAACATTAGATAAAGTGAAAGAGAGAACTAGCTAATAGGAATATATAGTTTGTGATCCAATTAGATAAAATAAGTTTTTTGGTTTTTTTTAAGATTTTATTTATTTATTTGACAGACAGAGATCACAAGTAGGCAAAGAGGCAGGCAGAGAGAGAGAGAGGAGGAAGCAGGCTCCCCACTGAGCAGAGAGCCTGATTTGGGGCTCGATCCCAGGACCCTGAGATCATGACCTGAGCTGAAGGCAGAGGCTTTGACTCACTAAGCCACCCAGACGCCCCTATAAAACAGGTTTTAACTACAAAACATAACCCAAATCTGAAAGCAGTCATGTACTTTTTTTTAAGGGTGAGCCTTATGCTATGCATTTTGACGAATTTGGCAGTCTTGAGAAATTTTCTAGGCACTTTCGTTTATCGGTTTGTTATTCCATTTACTTTAAAACAGTCTGTCACCTTTCGAAGAATCAGTAGCTCATTGCTCTTACCTGTCCTATTTTGACTGTTCAGAATTCAGAACACCCCAGCTATGTCAAGCCTAACCCACAAAAAGAGTGGCTGAGACCCAGGACGATGGGAGGCCATATAGGTTTCACGTGGCTTGACTGATCACGGGAGGGGCTTTCCTCAAAACCAGAACTTGGCCTTATTCCCTGGGTTGGCAGGTAGGGTGATTTAAACATGGAGCAAGGTGACGTGAAAGGCCTGGGTGGAAGGAGGGGTGTCCTTTTTCGTAATGGGGGAGGGGCTATGGTGAATGGCAGTTTTAGGAAGAGAACATCTGGACATTCGGAACCTGAATGCTGACTCCCTCACCCTGTCCAGGTCCTTGGATCCCCTGGAATTCTTCTTCGATATCCCCAGGGCCCCCCTGTCCCAAGTTAGAAGACTCCCGCCCATCTGGTGGTTCAAAACAGACTGTGTCACAGACACCCAGGAGCAGGTATTAAAAATACGGACTCCAAAGTGCAGACCTTTGCAAACTGTGATTGGGTGGGTCTAGGGCGTGGGCCTGAAAGCTGCATTTTATACTCTCTCCAGGAGATTCTGATGCCTGGCCCCAGCTGGCCCACTGCAGCCTATGGACCGGACAAAGCCTGTTCAGGTGACACATTTGGAAGTGGACCCCAGAGCCCACGATTTCCAGCCCATCGCTCTCTCTGCCGTCCCAAACTGCCTTCTCTCCCAGGCTTTATGGACTCAGCCTTTAAGAAGTGGAATCTGTCACCACCAGGACAGAGGGGAGAGGGGGGCTAGGGAGAGGAGGGACGACTGTGAGCCAGAGAGTAGTACTCACAAGAGGTAACAGCAGACCGCGGTGGCCACCAGCATGGTGATGATCACTCTGCAATGGAAGAGACAGTCAGGTCAGGATGGGTGGAATCAGCACCCTCCAAAGGCCTGGCCAGGGAAAGAGCTCCTGGGATTGGCCCCTTTCCTGCCCCTTCCTGATGCCACTGAACACAGGAGGCTGAGAATTGTTAAGACAGAAGATAAAAACTCCAAGGGTCACCTCAGGGGAAACACATCTTGCCCACATCCAAGTTGTGTTACCAACTCCCTTCACCTCCTTCTCCGCACCCACTCTTTCTCCATCTTCGTGTAACACCCCAGCCCCTCCCCTCCCAGCTGCATTTGTAGCATCCCACCATGGAGCCAAACTTCATGGGGCAAGGGGATGGAAAACAGAAGCTGGCAGGAGGCAAGGAGCTCGTGAGTCATTTCTGAGGCGGCGTTAGTGGTTATAAAGGAAGCAGGGACTAGCTACCTGTGTCCACACAAAGAGGACTGGAGACAGAAGCTTAAAATGCAGCAGGAGAGACTTCAGTTAGAACTCACCAGGGTTTGCAGGAGAGGTGAGAGACTAAAATGGTTCGCAAAGTGATGTGGTGGGACCCTGGGCCGCACAGATCTTGAAGACCAGAGACCGCGCTCATACGTCCAAGCAGCCTCCAGCCAAAGCTAACCCTAATCCAGACCAGGCCCCAGGACCCCTGGTCTAAAGCACCTGAAAGTGCCAGAAAATTACATTTCTGTAATTTACATTCCTTCCACATTACTAAGCCTCGTGGATCTACCGTGGCGAAGGAGACAATTCACCCAGAGGAAATCGTAATCAAGAGGAGACAGCACTTCCTAACCGAGGGTAAAATGATACAGACGCTGATAAACGGTGCAACAGATACAGAAATCTGCTAGGGGCCCTTCAAAAAACAATAATACCGGCTAAAAATTATTCAATACATAACACGTGCGACGCGCTGTAAGAGTTTTGCAAGCATTATCTCGGGTAACCCTCACAGCAGCCTTAGAAGGCAGGTATCAGCATCATTTTACCGATGAAGGAAGCGAGGCTTGAAGGGGTAACACTTGCTCAAGGTCACTGCCAGCGAGGGGTGGGCAAACCGTATCAGACGCCAGCCACGGCCTCTAGCATAACTGGCTGGGAGAGGAGGGGGACCTCAACTGCCTCCCGTGTCAGTCGGCTCTCCAGCTTTCTAAAGCACCACGGGCTCTGCCCTTTGGCTCCGACCGCCCGCCTGTTCCGAACTGCGCGCGACCAGTGCAGACCAGCAGGAGTGCGGCGCCCGGCAGGCCTCGGCCCAGTGCTCGCTGCCCCGCCCGCCGCCGCCCGAGGAGGGGTCCGCAGGGAGGCCGGGCCCGCGCGCCATCCTTACCCGCGGTTGGGTCCTTTGGGCACGAACCAGGGCCCGGCGATGCCGATGAGCCCCCAGAACGTGGTGAAGATGATGACCGGGAGGGCGAAGGAATGAGCCGTCATGGCCGGGCGCGGGTTGCCCAGGCTGGGGTGCAGCGCCGAACTGCAGACGCTCGGGTGCGCGGGGTCCCAGACCGGCGGTGGGCGCCGAGCATGCGCGGCAGGACCCGGCGGCCCACGGGAGCGCGCCTAGTCGGCCCCGCGCAGGCGCGAGCGCGTCTCCCGGCGGGGGCGGGCCTTCCGAGCCGCCGGGTTTAGATAGCTTGGATCAGCTTCTGATAAGCTCTGACCCGCATGACCCGCAGGACTTACAGGGCAGAGACGTGTGTCCAAATAAACTCAGCTTTATTCAGGTAGCAAAATGCTGAGAATTAAACATGGTTTTTTAAACCTCATTGAAACCAGAAGAGGAGAGGACCTCCCCTTGCCAATCGCCCTGAGCATCCCTTGTTGACCGACACCTGCACCAGGCAATTGGCCAATCTTCACACTGTCTTGCCAAATACTTAGCACCCTAGGAACTCCACATGTGCTTGAGAGAGAAGCAGAGGTCGGGAGTTGATTACACTAAGGTGTCTGGCAAGGACGGGGGGCTGAGGTCCCTCCCTCCCGCCCCGTCTCTATGGCTACTGGAATCAACCATCTGTTATAGTGCCGGTTAATTCAGAACGTCAGACGCTGTGGGCTGCAGTTATGGGGTGGGGGTAGGGATGGGGGGATGCCAGGATCAGAGGAGATGCTATTAAGATTACAAGAGGGGAAGGAGGGTGGAGGCGTAGCTAGGACTCTGGCCAGCGCCTCGACCCTTCTATTCCCCGTGCCCTTCAGTTTGCTCTCTTGCAAGGCAAAAATAGGATGGCTCTCCAACAAGGGCATCTCCAGGCGCTGGGTTTGAAATGCAGGGAGTGTCTTGAAACAAAACAGAGTTCAGGCTGGTGCTCACCGCGTGTCAGCCCTGGGTCCTGCACAAAAAGGTGGCTAGTCCTCTTCGCCATTAGCTAGCACGCCTGCGCCCCAAGAGAAATGTGGATAGTGCAAATCTCTATGACAAACTGCGTTTTTAGTCGCCTCCTCCAAGGGGCCCAGCCTTCTCAAAAGCCGGCAGTGCGGTCTTCCTTAGTACGTGGATGTGGAGGCCAGATGCTTCCCTACCTGGCCTCCACCTCCGTGCCTAGAGCGGCACAGGGCATTGTGTGTATGGAACTCACACACAACACTGCTGGAGGGACTGGCCTCATGCTCTGAGGATTCTTAAAGAATGGAAGAGGCCATGGGGAGGAGGCTTGCCAGAAAGTCACCTCAATTTGGAATCTAGGAATAGGGTGTAGGGTGACAACCCCCACTTTGAAGGGTCTTTCTCTCTTCCATCCCACCAACTCACGCCCACAACACCTAGCCTCGGGCAGATCCCTGAACTCCCCATAGAACCTTACGTGGATGGGGGAGGGAGGGCCAGGCTCCTATCTCCATGGGGTGGCCACAGCTGTAGCTGCAGGGGCCCGTGGTATACCTCAGACCCCAGACCAGGGGACTGGGAGAGAGACATTTCCACAGGCTAAATTAAAGGCGGAGAGTGAGGGCGAATTCCAGCCCACAGCTGAAAACAGGAAGGCGAGGGCACTAAGGCTAAATGCTAAGGGTGGGTGGCAGGAAGGGAGAGTCGGAAACATCAGGTACTGGGGGACACTGGATCCCAGCACCACCCTAGGACTGGGAGAAGGACAGACTGCTGGCTGAGGGCCAGACACCTTGTACTTGGAGCACAGGACAGGGTTGCCAGGTGCGAGGCTGGGACGCAGCACCACTTCTGGCCTGTATGAAACTCGAAAAGTGGGGGGCGAAGAAGCTTTTCCCTCTAGCCTCCCCATTTCCCACCCATGGTTGGGAAGGTAGGACCTAGGCCCCACATCATCCCCCCAGGTGAGCAGCCTCAGATCCTGCCCCTAAAATGAAGCTGCCCTGGAGGGGAAAGTGCTTTACTTCTGGGAGGCAGGGGAGATGGGGTGGGGGTCCTCAAGTTTGAGAGGGCCCACAAAGTTCCTGGAGGATCCTGCGGACAATGCACCATCCCTGAGCCCCAGTCCCACGGATCTGATCAGGCAGGTATGGGGGGGGCCATATTTAACAAGCACCCCTAGTGATTCCTAGGCTGGGTCCCAGAGCAACTTTGGGAAGAGTGGCACACGTAGGGAGCACATCTTCCCACAGTAAGGACATTGGTAGCAAGGGACAAGGACAAGGGCTGAAGGCAGCTAAGTCCACTCTGTGCCACCCAATGTCTGTCTTTATGGGAGCTGGAGGCACCGTCTGCAGACCAGGAGCCAGCAGGCACTTGGATTCTCTGCTGCCATGTCACGGAGAGGGAAATCGAGGCACAGAAAAGAGGATGGGATTAATTATGGTTGAACCTCTGCCTGCAGCAGAGCTGGGGCTGGACCGCAAGCCTCCCCGGGGCAAGCGTGGAACGTGTCCGCCCCTCCGGAGCCCGGGCTCACGTCCAGCACTGGTGCAGGTCACACAGAAGGGCTGCCACCGGTGAGAGGCAGCAGCTCATCCCCAGAAAGACTTTCCTCCGTGGTCCTGGGGCAACAGGAAGGTGGCCTCTCTTGAGGGCTTTGTGTAGAGGGTTTTGCTTGGCTCATCCTAAGGGAGGCCCTGGGAGGAGGGGGAGGAATTCTCTGCTGTGAGTCTCCCGTCTGTAGTGGAGGCTTCCCTGTGTCTGCCATGGAGCCAGGGTGACATACCCAGAGCCAGGCCAGTTGTCCCCAGAGCCTGGTCACCCTCCGCCGGTCCCCAGGCACCTCTTCCGTGCCACCGCCTCCCTGGAATGCTCCGGCACCATCCTGGGGGGCTGGGATGCTCCTTTTAGCCCTTACCCCCAACAGTCTCTCCCATTTCAGAGAAGTCCTCTTGCCCCCAGAACATGGGATGATGTCTTTCCTGATAGGATCATTTCCTGAAGCACCTTGAAGATGAATCTGAGATGGGAACCTTTCTGCCTGTTTCAGTGCTGTGGGGTCACTGCTGCTTAGAGAGGGGCCTTGGTAAACAGGCTTGTGCTCCTGATTACCCTGCCTCTCTGGGAGGTGGGCTTAACCGTCTTGTCACTGCCCACTTCCTGGTACTTAGAGAGTCCCCGAAAAGGAAGATTCTAGGGCAGCCTAGATTCTGCAGAGAGCCTGTCACCACGATTCCAAGGGGCAGGGCAGCAGGGGGGTCTCCAAGGCAATCCCTAGGAGTCCTGCTCCTATGGGAGCTCTCTGTCAGGACAGCTCAGGGGCCTCTTGGCTGGTATGGGGGTACAGGAGTCTGTCAGGAGGGTCCGCAATGCAGTCCTTCGGGATCTCCGCTGGCTCCCTGTAGGTTGGAATGGGTGGCTTCTGGGTCACAGCCTCCTCCATATAGAGTGGCCCCGTCTTCTCCTTCCTGAGCCCCGCTCCTTGTGCGAGAGGAAAGAGAACCCACAATTACACCGAGGGGAGAACAGACTGGATGACAATTCCCTTCCCACGTCAGCTGTACCCCAAGGTAAGCTCGGTGAGGACGGCATGCAGAACAGGTAGAGATGGGACGGCGGCTGCTCTCGGCAGGCCGGCTCTAGTCCTGCTCTAGTCTTCTCTCACCCTGGGGCGTGGGTCTCACCCGGGGCGACTCTGCCCTCCCGGGGACACATGGCAATACCTGGAGACACTTCTGGTCACTACAACTGGGTGAGTGCTCTGGGGACCCAGTGGGTGTACGGGGTGCAGGTCAGGAATGCTGAAGACCCCACCAGGCACAGGCCAGGCACCACGGCCAGGAGTGACCCGGCCCTCAGTGCCGACAGTGCAGAGGTTGAGAACTGCCTAGGAAGGAGGGCCTTATCCTATCAAACTGGGAGGTGTCCTCTATTTGCTTCAGGGGTACCAAGCCCACTACGCCAGTGAGAACACACCCGAGAACGTCTTTCTCCTTCACCCCCACGGGACTGGATGCGGGGAACAGCTCATGCAGCGAATGCGTGCGTGAAGGACGCGCTGCCTGCCTCCCCACCCTGGTCCCCCGTCTCTTCTCTCCACTTTGAGCCCGGGCCCCTCGTCTGGCCCAGCAATGGGGCCGGGGCCACCCTGCTTCCTGAGGAGCCTCTGTCAATCCTGAGACCCGGTCCCCTGCTGACCACAGACCCAGCAGCAGCCCATGAGAGCACAAGCCTAGAAGGTTTCCAGAAATAAGAAAGTGTCAAGGAAGAAACTTCACTGCTGTCACTGGGAAATAAAACGTGAACAGCCTGGAGAGCCTCTTTGGTTTTCCAGGACTACTTGGACAGAGGAAAATGTCTTGCCTCAGATCCAGTAACTCACCTGCCACAGAAAGTAGTTTCCCCTCCAGCCAGGTCCCGACGCCAGCCCTCCAGCCTAGCGCTCCAGGGGGGACTGTGAGGCCCCGCTCCTCAAGGACGCCTCCCCACCCGGCAAGCCCCAGCCCTGTCCGCAACCTGGTCGCCGCACTGACTTCTTCCCTCCTGAAAGAGTCTACCCAGCCCCGCGGAGAACGTGCTCTCGCTGCCCTCGCCTGTCCCCTGCTCTGTGCTCCGGTTACTTGGGGCAGTGGGCTGGACCTCCACAGGGTGCCACTGGCATCACGTGCCAGATGCTATGCCCTCTGCCGGAGAAACACCAAAGCACAAGGTGAGCTGGCCTGAGGTCACGCAGCAGTGAGCAGAGCCAAAATCTGAGCCTGGGGCAGACAGGCTCGATAGGTACACACTCCAAGCGGTATGCCCTGTCAGCTGGTTGTGTGTGTGTGTGTGTGTGTGTGTGTGTGTGTGTGTGTGCGCGCGCGCGCGCGCCCCCCCCCCCCTCCCCCGCACTGGGGCTGGATCAGAAGCTGAGGGCAGGGGTCACCTCTCGAGCACCCACTGGGGATGCCCGAGACCAAGCCTCAGGTGACGGCTGCCATTGCCAGACTGTCCCAGACTTCAAGGTCAGCGTGGGATCGCGAAGCTCAGACCGGCTTCCCTTGCTCTCCTGCGCCGGGAGACGCTGTCACGGGTGCTTACGTGCATGGGCGCGGGGCGGCACTCGGGCGCATGCGTAGACTTGGCTGAACCGCCGGCCGGAGGAGGTCAGGTACCAGTGCTGGATGGCGGGCTGTGGGTCGTACTCCGTGACGGCCACCCCGTTCACCGCTGTCATCATGAGCATGTTGATCACCTCGTTGGAGAGCTTGGTCCTTTCATCCGTCCTGATCCGGTTCATGGCACTGAAGCCCCGCTCGCAGCAGGCGGTGGATACGGGCACGCAGACCACGACGGCCACGAGCCTGCTCAGCAGGGGGAAGCGGCAGCCCTGTGCCAGGGCGTTCTTACAGAGCATCGAGAACGGGAGGTTCCTGCCCATGGCTTTCAGGCCCAGCCACTCCTCCAGGAGCGCCTCCTTGCTGTATCCCGCGGGGAGCGAGAGTTCGAAGGACCTGGCAAGGGCCAGAATATCCTCGTTCCCGAAACTGGCCAGTTCCAGCCCACTTGGCCAGGCCACAGTGTCAAACACCTCCATGTTCTTGAGCTGCGGGGGCCGGGCCATGTCAAACCTTCGCTGGAGGTACTCGATCCCCGTGACGATCACCTTCTCCCGGTCCGTCCGGAAGCGCTGCCCCGCCCCCTCCTGTCTGTCCAGGGAGATGCCGTGCAGCCGCCCCTCTCGGAAGCCGGCATTGAACTCGTCCTCCTTGGGACCTGCCTGGTGACGCAGGGCCTCCAGGGCTACGTAGGCCCGTCCCAGCGCCGAGTTCACCTCTGTGATCGACACCATCTCCTTCTGGCACACCTCCGACAGGGGCCTGTAGATGCTCAGGAAGTCCAAAAGGAAGTGGCAGAACTTGACGAAGTGGAAGCTCTTCATCAGCTTCAGCAGGCCCTTGGCCCTGTGCCCGGTCTGGCCCCCCGCTTCCGCCACAGCCTGAAGGTGCCGAGCCAGGGCCGGCCAGCTCACGACGAGCGCGTTCAGCGTGCGCCTCCTGCTGGCCACCCAGCGCACGGCGTTCAGGTCCTTGAGACGGAGGATCTCCTGCTCCAGGGGCCCCGCGCCCTCCTGCAGCTCGCTCAGCCTCTTGCTCGAGGACTGATAGAACTTGAAGACCGTGCGAATGTGCCGGTCACACTTCTTCAACAGATCAATGCCCCCACACGCGTCCACCACGGCCAGGTGCAGCCGGTGGGCGACACAGTGGACGGGCAGCAGCTGGGGGATGACCTCTTGGAACTTTTCCACCAGGCCCCCTCTGCTGCTCAGCACGGCGGAGCCGTCGGTTCCCAGGCCCACCACCCAGCCGGGCTTCCGGAAGGGGATGTCCAGCTCATCCAGGGCAGAGACCACGGTCTCAAAGTAGCCGTCCACCGTCTCACTGTAGAGAGGGGCCAAGGTGATGTACGACTCTTTCACCTCCGTCCCCTTAAAGTAGCGGAGATAAATCCCCACGCAGGCCTGGTCCGAGGCGTCCGTGCAGCGGTCCAGCAGCACGCTCACGCACGGCGAGTTTCGAACATCCTCCAGGATCTCCTTCCTCAGGGTCTCGGAGATGTACTTGATGAACTGCGTGCAGGCCGTGCGATTCCGGTACTTGCCCAAAATCATGGTCCCGGTGCTCTGGAGGAGTTGCAGGATCTTCTCAAAGTCGTTCAGGGGCCGCGAATGGTACGCAATGGAGTAGGCAGCGTTGAAGAGGTAGCCCATGCTCGCCATCAGGTCGCTGGACATCTCCGGGACCAGCGCGGCAGGAGGCGCGTCCTCCGTGATTTCGACAGTGTTGACACAGAGCTTGTGTGCTTTGCTGACCTCGTGATATTTTAAAGTCTCCACTTTAAAAGGCCCCGTGTAACCTTGGACTAACCGGGACGACTTGTCGTGGAGACTCGGTCTTCCTTTGCAAGCTGAGCAGAAGAGCTTGGTCTCCTTCGGGTCAATTACTAACCACGGGAACTGCCCAAACCATGACCTCTGAATGGAACGGGGTCTGTATGTCCTCTTGATCATCCCAGGGCCATCTGCTCCGACTGCACGAAGGCTGGAATTGCAGTAGGAGTTACGTGTCTCCAGAGGAGCTGCTGGAGGCACGGGAGAGTCTATAGGCAAGGCTTGTGTGTCTGCCTCTCTTCTGGCCCCCATCTTCTTCTTCCCTTTGGAACAAATAAAAATGTGTTTGGTTTTGCTGCCCAGAACTCTGCAGCCTCCCCTCAGTGAAGACATCCCAATTTACCGAGTGTCCCTCATGCAAAGCAGAGTTGAGTGTGACTTATCTACCTTTCTAGAGATCATCCATGACTTCTCTTTAAACCCTTCCCCACTATCATCTGTGCAAGTCAGCCTGCTCCCGAGGACATGTGTGCTATCCTTGTGGGCTCTCCCTCTCTACCCCCGCAGCCCCCCTGTGATCATGTGACATCAGCGGCTCATAAGCTTAATCAGCTACCTTGGCCATAGCTGCTACTGGATAAACAGGTGACTTTAATCCTCTTTTGAGGCAGCAAAGAAATGAGGTTAAACATCTGTAAGTCTCATGAACTTTAGAAAGGAGTCTACGCAGCAGCAGCGAGCCAGTAAGCCCTGACTAAGAGACGCAGAACAGTGAGCTTGTACAGACCAGTGGTACTACCCCTGGAAACTGGAGGAGGAGGGAAGAAGGGCAGCTCCCAGGCCCGCGGGTCACACAGCTCCTTACAACCAGGCCTCCCGCATGAGCCCCTGTTAGCTCCACCATGGGTCCTGTGAGCACATCTGCTCATCAAAGGGCCCCCTTTGTCCCGCACTGTCCCTGTTTCCCTACTTGACACTTGGAGGGCAGAGGTAGTTTCTTGCTCGTCTTTGCCCAGCAGAGCCTGACACAAGGCCCGGTGCGCCGCAGGAGCAGGACAGGGACAAACAAATGGACAGGGGATGACTTGCTGTGGCCACATAGGCCCCAGGATGTGCCCTTGAGAACTCGGTAGGTCAAGACTCACCTGGAGGACAACCTTTCCCCCACTTCGGCCCGTTTGGGTCCTTGATCCAGGGTGCAGCTCGGCGTTCCAGTTTTGAGATCAGGTTTGGTTTGGCAGCGGCGGGTCCTGTCGCGGGGATGGAGAGTCACACTGAGGTCACTGCTCTGAACCATCAAGTCAGATAGCCCGCCCGAAGCTACTCGTGGAAACTGAAATGTTCAGCTCAGCCTCTAAGCTGTCTCGTAATAAAGTCTACTCAGCCAGGGCCACGATGAAAACATTCCCATCTGGTGTGCCAATCTAGCCCTAAAACCCAGCAGACGGTCAGATTCAGGTTCAGCCCTCAGCCAGGATAAATCACAGCTTCAGCTCCGTGGGCCAGCTGTGGGGGCCAGGAGTCAGCTGAGCATGTCTGGAGGGAGGTGCACGTGGGAGGGGACACGGGGTGCAACAGCAGGAGAGGGCAGGGATGGTAGGGAGAGCCACACGAGACTCGAAAGGCCCCTTCAAAATGTCCACACCTGCCACAGAATCTTAAATCCGACTAGAAGAGATTCATGCCTTGGGGTTAAGCACTGCCCTTTACTGAAGATACAAATATTCTCAGGGGTATGAAAAGAAATTGCTTTCTTGATTTAAAATAAAATCCACCAGTATCTACTTACGTGCTTTGGTATGTGTGTGAATGTGTGCATAAACTTTCTGTGGAAGGACATGGCAGCGACTGCTAACTGTGGCTTCTGGGGCCAGAGTCGTCACTGTCACCCCGCAGCTTTTGGATCACGTGAATGCATGTATATATTTATATCTGTTACATGTGCATGTGTGTATCCGTATATTCACTAATAAAAATGTAATTACATACATTGTTAAAGTGCCGTAGACTGAACACGTATCCTTCTTAAAACATCCCTAAGATGAGGGCCAAGGAGTAGTACTACTAATAATATAATACAAAGAAATGTTAATGCATTTTTGGAAGAAGGAAAGGAGAAGAAGGAACAGAGCTGAACACTAAAAGCTGGCAAAGGGGGCAGCACGGAGAAAGAAGGGAGTCTGACTGCAGGGTATCCAAAAGACTCAGGGACTGGAGGCGCCAGGAGTGGTGGGAGGTGGCGGGTAAGGAACGGGTGAGAGGGGCGGGCGCCCAGTCTGCAGACGTCACTCCAGCCCGGGGCCTCCCACCTACTCCAGGGGAACCGAGAACGCCACCACCTTTGCACACCCTCACCCGAGGAGGAGAATGGAGATTTAGCTCCTGGAAAAACTGAACCAGAAAGGTTCTAGACCAGTGAGAGTGGAGATTGTGGAAGAGGAAGGAGAAGGCTGCAGTGATGAAGAGAGTCTGTGTTCTGATACATGCATTACTCAGAGCCAAGGTTACACCCACGCTCGGCGGTCCACCCCAAGCAGGGGACTTGGGCAAGTCGTCTTTGGAGAAACAGAAATGCCCCTCGCACTCCCCGCTGCCCCAGGGGTGCAGAGGACACTGACTCCTGCCGCTCTCCAGTGAGACCTGTGGGGAAATCTGTGTCTTCATGAGCCCCAGCCTCCACGCAGAGCCGCTAGCCAGGTTTCTCAAGGTCTCACTCTGAAACTTGGATGAGCCACAGGATAGTTATTTAAGACAAGCCTCTAACATGAAATCAGTAGGAAAAGGGATCAGAGGACCTACAGAAACTGCTGGGAACAAAGTGGAACTAAAAAAAAAAAAAAAAAAAAAAAGAATTAAAAAGCGGAATTCATGTTCCCAGATAGAAAAGTGTTGAGAGTCAATCGCAAAAGGAGCAACGGGGGCTTTGAGGTTCAAAGTAAGATAGAAGAGGGGCCCCTGGGTAGCTCAGTCAGTTAGGCTGCCGACTCTTGGTTTTGGCTCAGGTAGTGATTGCTGGGTCATGGGATCGAGCCCTGTGTGGGGCTCTGTGCTCAGCGGGAGTCTGCTAGAAGTTATCTCCCTCCCCTCTGGTCCTCCCCCAGCACACTCTCTCTCTCAAATAAATAAAATAAAATTAAAATATGATAGAAGAAATTAAAACATTCAATGGTATTGTTAGAGAATAAACTTGAGAAATCTCCAAGAAAGTAGAACAAAAAAGACAGAAAGAAGCAGAAAATAGAAGAAGAAAAAAATAAACTAAAACCAGAGGCTCAATTTAGGAAGTCTGATATCTAACAGGACTTTCTGGAAGAAAGAAAGAGAAAATCGGTAAGAAGAAGTCCTACAAGAACATTTCCCCAAATTGGAAAACGCGAGTTTTCGCTTCGAAGGGAAGCACCAGACACCCAGGACGAGAAGTGAAACATCACTAATATCATTAAACACTTCAGAACACTGGACTAAATCTTAGAACCTTTCAGAGTAGAAAAAATCAGCTGTGTTCAAAGATTTAGTTATGAGAAGGCATTTAGACTTCTCAACACCAGTAAAACCTGAAGGCAATGTTTTTGAAATACTGAGGAAAACTCCTTCCAACCTAGAATTCTATGCCCAACCTTCCAACTCTAAGGGCAGAGTAAGGCATGCCTCCCATGCACCCTTTCTTGGGAAGTTCCTGGAGGCTGAGCTCCAACGAAATGAGGATATAAACCTGGAAGAATCCGGGGGACGGGAGTGGGACAAAGGGAAGTGTGAGGCCACAGCTGTGCAGGCCTAAAGAAAAACCAGTGTAGACAGAGCGGGAGGACTGGACTCAATAATGGATGTCCCCAGAGAAAGTGAAGTTGATCCATCCCAGGATGCCTGATCAAGGCACAAAGACTCTTCAGAGGAATTTTATAACTCCCTGGGAGAGCTGGAGAAGAATCGTTGAGAAGAATGTGCTATGGTGAGTGCTGTGAAGTGTGTAAGCCTGATGACTCACAGACCTGTACCCCTGGGGCACATAATACCTTATATGTTAATTAAAAATAATACTAAAAAAAATCATTGAGAAGACAGAAAACTAGCAAAATAAAAAATAAGAAAATATTTCAATTCGGGGGGGGGAAACATCCTCCAACAAAGGAAAATCATCCTAATATGCCACTTTGATCAGAAATAAGTAATCAGTCTACGGCCATACCACCCTGAACGCGCCCGATCTCGTCTGATCTCGGAAGCTAAGCAGGGTCGGGCCTGGTTAGTACTTGGATGGGAGAAATAAGTAATCATAATCAGGCAAACAATTTACATTGAATTCATCAAGAAAGTGCGATGTTCTTGTTCTGAGAGGGTAGAGGGACAGAGTGGGGCCCGGGGTAACAGAAGATGGCTGGATCTTCACCTTCCACGGTAGGAATCAAGAGGGAGTATCTATGTAAAATCAACAAATCAGGAACAGCGATAAGCACATGCAACAGGAAATTAAAGTGTGAGTCAGTCTGTCTGCCTGTTTTGCTCAAGGTCTAAAAAGATAGGAGCCAACTGTCCCCCATCCGAAAGCTAGATCACCGAGGCGTGACTTGGATAAGAGGGTGGCCAAAACACGGGGCTGTGACCCTAGCCCTCGACATAAAGAAGGAGTTGGAGCACTGGAAGTGAAGAGGTCTGGAAGCTGGATATTAGAGATGTTTCTGGAAAGAGATGTCAGTTGTACTGTGAGCCCCTCACACCATCATGGGGAGCGGTGGTGTGGGCTGCTTTCGCCTGACTTTAAGCCTAAGGAATGACATTCTGTCCTGTCCCCTGGGCTATGAGGCTCCTCATGAATCCAGGCTTGCGGAAGACTAAAGGCAGAATCTGACAGATGGGCTCCTTCGTGGTGGCCATGTTGGGAATGGCCTACATTCCCAGGGTCTGTCGAAGGAAAGGATATGTCTTCCGTGGTCCGGATGTGGCCCCAGGGGGAAAGAAAAGCCTGGAGCCACTTCACACTTCAAAGGACTCTGCCTCTGACTGTCTGTTGTGAGACCAAGAATGAGCCCCTGTGGGGCTGGCTGACTGCCAAAGGAGACGCTCACCGGTGTAGAGGGGACCATGGTGAGTGATGGCAGGGGCACGGAGAACCCACACTCACCCAGAGAATCAGCTTTCCACAGTCCCAGCCACAGGGGATGTCAAGTCAAACTCCTGTGTACCTCTTCCCCCCATTCACCCACCACTGTTCCCACCCAGGACACAGCAGAATTCATGGAACCAGCCCAGGGGGGAGGAGGAGGACAAGGAGGACCTCCTCCTTCCTAACACAACATTCCAGATTCCACACCTGGGCCAGGAGGAGGGAGAGATGAGAAACTTTAGCTTTAGCTGAAGTCCGGATTTTTAACTACTACACAAAAACTACACTTTTGTTTCCTAATTTGGGGGGAGGGTGTACATTTCTGTAGCATTTAAAAACCCAATAAAAAGTTTCAGTAGGGGACCCGGGTGGCTCAGTCGGTTAAGCATCTGCCTTCGGCTCAGGTCATGATCCCGGGGTCCTTGGATCAAGCCCCACGAGGGGTTCCCTGCCCCACGGGGAGCCTGTTTTTCCCTCCTCTACCCTCCTGTTTTTTTTTCCCTCCTCTACCCCTCTACCCCTCCCCCTGATCATGCTTTCTTTCTCTCTGTCTGTCAACTAATAAGTAGAAATCTTTTTAAAAAGTTTCAATAATAAAAAAATTTAGAATATTAAAAAGCTTCAATAATAATACGAAGAACTCCAATCATTAACATTTTGTCTCATTTGCCCTATCACGCTCTTGCATTCTTGTGCCTTTCCCCCTCCCCCCTTTTGCCCCCTCTGTGTATGTGTATAAATAATATATAAATAATATAGAGGCAATATTTTTCTAAACCATTGAGAGGAAATTGTTTCATGCCCGCTTTATCCTGAAATGTTTCGGCACGTGTCACTCAAGAAAAAGGACATTCTCCCCTGGGGTGGGCAGAATTCTAACACGAGCTCCCAGGACCCCAGCCTTTCCTCACCCCTGCTGCTTACGGTCTGGTTGGAACGTGTGCCCTGATACCACACTCGTGATTCTGTGACGTTACGTGGCCAAAGAGAGGCTATCTGGGTGACTTCCCCCAACCACATCAGCCCTCGAAAAGCAGAGCACCAGGAGTGATCGACACACAGCTGCGAGCCCGAGGATGGAGACGGCCGGCTGTGTGGAGGGGACGGGAGAGTGGCCTGTAGTTGCTGAGAAAGCTGCCTGGGGGAAAG